GGGTGACTCTGGTGGTCCATTGATCTCCAACGGAAAACAAGTTGGTGTCGTCTCATGGGGATTCGGCTGTGCCCGTCCACAGTACCCTGGAATCTACTCCAGCGTCGAAAACATGCGCGCATTCATCAAGGAAAAATCTGGAGTTTAAATCATTGATGTAAAATAATGAAACATGAATAAAGATTCACAACCATAATATTTTTGTTTTTTATTATATTATTGCCTGGAGATGTCAACGAATGCTTAATTTGGGAAAAAATGAAAATTTTGTACAAAATTGCAACTAATCTAACCAATATTAAAACATTAGTTAATTTATATTACAAAAAGTTTTATGTATCTTCTTAGAAAAGATCTCTTCAAGAAAAATAAATATGCAATTAAGCAATTTAAAAGCATCAAATTTAGCAATTACGAAGAGACAATACTGTTAATCTTGCAAATTGTAAACGTTCCACTAATGTATAATTGTATTAGTCAAGAATACTGATTTACTATGAAAAAAAAAATGTAAATAAAATAGGACAATAATATATTTAGATTAAGGAGTTAAATTATAATAATAGACAATGTACTTTTCTTGGTTTATAATAAATAATATCAAAATTTATTGTCCAATTTATATTTATTTATATTAAATTTATATATTTTGTCAAAATGACAAGTTATACTAGATAGATTGAATTGGCAATGAAAATTATCACAAAATCTTAAATTGTACTGTTAGATATTGAAGATGGTTTTACTAATATTTTCAACTTTCATTGAAGATTAACTTGTGTTGGAAATAGGTGACATAATATTTGTAGCATTTAGATTAGAATAATAATAATTATAATAAGTAATTGTACTATTGTACCACCTTTTGAAAATGCCTAGTGGAGCATTATTATATTTTTTTTAGAAAATGTCCAAGAAAAAGGAACTATCCTTTAATTTAGTCAGTATGTTAAAGGATGAAAGTTGATAGACTAAATCATCCAATTTTGATATAGTTGACGAAGTTGTCTGATTCAATTGTTAACCGAGAGGATTAGGTTGTTATAAAGTTACTTTCACAGTTTGTGTACTAATACTCTATCAACTGAACTATTGTAGTTGGTCGACAGAATAACAATATTCTACTATATGTACTAAGTACATAACAGGTACATCTGAGGAAATTTAACAAGAATAATAAATTGTATAGATATGAAACTATTTTTATTAATGAAATAAGTATATTATTTGGGCGGAAAGACCTACGGCAAATAGCCTTATGAGCAATTATTTTTGTTTTCATTTATTATTTTTGATATTGTATGGTAATGTTAATTTTTTGCGCGACTGTTACAATAAAGTTATTAAAAAAAATAAACTATTAAACATAATGAATAAAATAAGAACAATGTTAGAATTTTGTATTTAAACAAATAATTGAATAAAAAATCATAATGAAATTATTATTGATTTTTAATCATCTATATATAACTTACTATCAATAGTTAAGGCAAAGAAAAAATGAAACTAGATTGTATGGATCTTAATTAAATCGAAGCAACATTTTTATTAAATTCAAGATAATAAAATGAGTATCGTAAGAAAAATATTTACTTGCCGATAAGATTGATGTGTTCAGCTATATAAGGGTGTGCGAATTATTTCAAATCAGAACCGAAATCATGAAGTTCGCAATTGTAGCTTTGATCGTGGCTGTTGCCTCAGGTAAGATCTAACTATAAAATATTATATAACTTATCTCAAGACATTATTGTATTTTAGCCAATGCTTTGTCCCCACCAAAATTGGATGGTCGCATCGTTGGTGGTGAAACCGTCGACATCGAGGATTTCCCTCATCAATTGTCCCTGCAATACTATGGAAGTCACATCTGTGGCGCTTCCATCATCAGCGGAAAGTTCGCCCTTACCGCTGCTCACTGCACCGATGGGTAAGCTATATAATATCATGGTTGTAATTGTTATATAATAATTGGTAATTTGCAGAACTCCAGCTAGCGTACTCAGCGTTCGTGCTGGATCTTCCATCCAAGGATCCGGTGGACAAGTTGTGAAAGTTGTTAAGGTCCACCAAAACCCAAAATTCAACGCCGTCACCATCGACTATGATGTTTCCGTTTTGGAATTGGAATCCGAAATCAAAATGGGAGCTGGAGCTTCCGCCATCCCTCTTCCTAAAGCTGGTGAAAAGGCCGAAGAAGGTGATGACTCTGTTGTTTCTGGTTGGGGAGCACTTTACGAAGGCGGTGGTTCTCCTTCCCGTCTTCAGGCTGTCCATGTTAAAATCATTGGTCATGACTCTTGCCAAAAGGATTACGGATCAACCGAAATCACCGACCGCATGATCTGCGCCGGAGTTGGCGGTGGAAAGGACGCTTGTCAAGTAATGATAACAAACAATATAGTTTGAAGTTTATATTAATTTTTATTTAATACATTTAGGGTGACTCTGGTGGTCCATTGATCTCCAACGGAAAACAAGTTGGTGTCGTCTCCTGGGGATTCGGCTGTGCCCGTCCACAGTACCCTGGAATCTACTCCAGCGTTGAGAACATGCGTGCATTCATCAAAGAAAAATCTGGAGTTTAAACCATTGATGTAAAATAATGAAACGTGAATAAAGATTCACAACCATAATATTTCTGTTTTTTATTATATTATTGCCTGGAGATGTCAACGGATGTTTACTTTGGGAAAAATGAAAATTTTGTACAAAATTGCAACTAATCTAACCAATATTAAAACATTAGTTAATTTATATTACAAAAAGATTTATGTATCTTTTTAGAAAAGATCTCTTCAAGAAAAATAAATATGCAATTAAGCAATTTAAAAACATAAAATTTAGCAATTATGAAGAGACAATACCGTTAATCTTGCAAATTGTAAACGTTCCACTAAAGTATAATTGTCGTAAGTTTGTAACGTTTATCCATTCAAAAAAATACTGATTTACTATGAAAAAAAATATAAATAAAATAGGACAATAATATTTTTACATTAAGAAGTTAAATTATAATAATAGACAATAAACTTTTCTTGGTTTATAATAAATAATATCAAAATTTATTGTCCAATTTATATTTATTTATATTAAATTTATATATTTTGTCAAAATGGCAAGTTATACTAGATAAATTGAATTGGCAATGAAAATTATCACAAAATCTTAAATTGTACTGATAGATATTGAATTATTTTAGTCCGCATGTTAAAGGATGAATCTTGATAGACTAGATCATCCAATTTTGATATAGTTGACGAAGTTGTCTGATTCAATTGTTAACCAAGAGGACTAGGTTGTTATAAAGTTACTTTCACAGTTTGTGTACTAATACTCTATCAACTGAACTAATTGTAGTTGGTCGACAAAATAAGAATATTATACCATATGTACTAAGTACATATCAGGTACACCTGAGAAAATTTAACAAATTGTATAGATATGTAAATATTTTTATTAATGAAATAAGTATATTATCTGGGCACAACGACCTACAACAAATAGCTTTCTGAGCAATTATTTTTGTTTTCATTTATTATTTTTGATATTGAATCGTAATGTTTATTTTTTTGCGCGACTGTTACAATAAAGTTTATTGTTATATTATTAAAAAAATGAAAAATAAATTGATAAACATAATAAATAAAATAAGAACAATGCTGGAATTTTGTATTTAAACAAATAATTAAATAAAATATCATAATCAAATTATTATTGTTTTTTAATCATCTATATATAACTTACTATCAATAGCTAAGGTAAAGAAAAAATGAAACTATATTCTATGAATCTTAGTTAAATCAAAGCAACATTTTTAATAAATTCAAGATAATAAAATGAGTATTGTAAGAAAAATTTTTACTTGCCGATAAGATTGATGTGTTCAGGTATATAAAGGTATGCGAATTATTTCAAATCAAAACCGAAATCATGAAGTTCGCAATTGTAGCTTTGATCGTGGCTGTTGCCTCAGGTAAGATCTAACTATAAAATATTATATAACTTATCTCAAGATATTATCGTATTTTAGCCAACGCTTTGTTCCCACCAAAATTGGATGGTCGCATCGTTGGTGGTGAAACTGTCGACATCGAGGATTTCCCTCATCAATTGTCCCTTCAATACTATGGAAGTCACATCTGTGGCGCTTCCATCATCAGCGGAAAGTTCGCTCTTACCGCTGCTCACTGCACCGATGGGTAAGCTATATAATATCATGATTGTAATTGTTATATAATAATTGGTAATTTGCAGAACTCCAGCTAGCGTACTCAGCGTTCGTGCTGGATCCTCCATCCAAGGATCCGGAGGACAAGTTGCGAAAGTTTTAAAGATTCACCAGCACCCAAAATACAACAGAAACACCGTCGATTACGATATTTCCGTTTTGGAATTGCAATCAGAAATCAAAATGGGAGCTGGAGCCTCCGCCATTCCCTTGCCTGCGGCTGGTGAACAGTCGAAGGAAGGTGATGACGCTGTTGTTTCTGGATGGGGAGCTCTTTCAGAAGGTGGTGGCTCTCCTTCCCTTCTTCAGGCCGTCCACCTTAAGATGATTGGTCATGATTCTTGCCAGCATGATTATAATCAGAGTCCAAGCAAACCAGAAATCTCTGATCGTATGATCTGCGCCGGTGTTGGTGGAGGAAAGGACGCTTGTCAAGTAATGATAATCTAACAGTATAGTTTGAAGTTTATATTAATTTTTATTTCATAAACTTAGGGTGACTCTGGTGGTCCATTGATCTCCAACGGAAAACAAGTTGGTGTCGTCTCCTGGGGATTCGGCTGTGCCCGTCCAGAATACCCTGGAATCTACTCCAGCGTTGAGAACATGCGTGCATTCATCAAAGAAAAATCTGGAGTTTAAATCATTGATGTAAAATAATGAAACATTAATAAAGATTTAAAACCATAATATTTCTGTCTTTTTTTATATTATGGTCTTGAGTTGGCAACGAATGCTTACTTTGGGAAAAATGATTTTTTTAATAAAATTACAACTAAAGTAACCAATGTTTTAATATTAGTTAATTTATATTACAAAAAGCTACAGGAATTTTTACAACTTATGAATTATGAGTTATTTTTAATTCTGAAGATATTAGTCATAAATAATAAGAAATTGAATAATGATAATAGAAAATAATGAAAATTATTGTAACAGTGATAATAAAAACAAATAAAAAAATAATTAACTGTTAAAACTGTTTTTTGACTACATGTCTTTCAGTCTTAAATTTTTATATTTTTTATTAATTCTAGATAATTTGCAGTTATATAAATCAAATGACAAATTATGAAAGTTAATGCAATTATAATTGATAATTAATTTATAAAATATATATATTGTAAAATATATATATATAGCTTGATGAATTTTCTTTTGGGAATGGTTAAGAAATAAGGAAGTGATATTGTAGATTCTCTTAATTCCCGAAGTTTTTTTTCAATCTCGAGATTTCAGATAGAAAGTTCGAAAAATCGCGGAATTTCACATGTATTCGTTCTTCGTTTCATATAGAACTCCTTTTTAATTGATAATATTTTGTAGGGTTCTACTGCTTTTATAGATTTAAGGATACAATTATTGCATTTGCTAAAGAGATTCTTGATAAAATCATTAGTATTTGATTTTAAATCTGTATAAATAAAATAAAATTGGTTAATCAAATCTGGTTGATTATGAACCAAAAATATTTTAGTTTAATAAAACTACCCATATTTATATGTTCGGTCGTTTGTTTTAATTATTTTTGGTAATTTTTTTAGCAAACACATTGTTAATTGTCCTAGATTAAAACGTAAATCTTAGGAGTCGGTATATAAAAATCAATCAATCTCCCGAGATTTCGTTCCCGGTAAATGTATACATTTCATTTTTAAAAGATTAGTTCTGAACATTTATTAATGAAATATATATATATTTATTGGTAAAAATTTAAATTAATCTGTTAAAAAATATGTACTTTATAGATAAGTATACAATAATTTCTAAATAAAATAATATTTCACTAGAAATTCTAATTCCTATGAAATATTATTTCAAAATGTTTATATTGTTTACTTATCATCTATTTATAACTAACTATTAATAGCTACTAGTAAAAATTAAAATCTTTAATACCTGTCGATAAGATATAAGTTTGGCACTATATAATGCATATACAAATTTTGTTGGAGTTAAAACCACAACCATGAACATCGCAATTGTAGTTCTTTTTGTAGCAGTCGTTGGCACTGGTAAGGAAAATTTATAATTTTCTATTAAATAATATTTTTATAACAAATATTATTTAATATTAGCTAACGCCTTGTTTCCACCGAAATTGGACGGTCGTATCGTTGGTGGTGAATCCGTTGACATCGAGGATTTCCCTCATCAATTGTCACTGCAATACTATGGAAGTCACATATGTGGCGCTTCCATCATCAGCGGAAAGTTCGCCCTTACCGCTGCTCACTGCACCGATGGGTAAATTAAATAACTTCATAGTTGTAATTGTAATATTAATAATTGGTAATTTGCAGAAATCCAGCTAACGTACTCAGCGTCCGCGCTGGATCTTCCTTCCAAGGATCCGGAGGACAAGTTGTGAAAGTTTTAAAGATTCACCAGCACCCAAAATACAACAAGAATACCGTCGATTTCGATATTTCCGTTTTGGAATTGCAATCGGAAATCAAAATGGGAGCTGGAGCCTCCGCCATTCCCTTGCCTGAGGCTGGTGAAAAGTCGAAAGAAGGTGATGACGCTGTTGTTTCTGGATGGGGAGCTCTTTCAGAAGGTGGTAGCTCTCCTTCCCTTCTTCAGGCCGTCCACCTTAAAATGATTGGTCATGATTCTTGCCAGCATGATTATAATCAGAGTCCAAGCAGACCAGAAATCTCTGATCGTATGATCTGCGCCGGTGTTGGTGGAGGAAAAGACGCTTGCCAAGTAATGATAATCTATCAGTATATTTTGAAGTTTGTGCTAATTTTTCTTTCGCAAACTTAGGGTGACTCTGGTGGTCCATTGATTTCCAACGGAAAACAAGTCGGTGTCGTCTCCTGGGGATTCGGCTGTGCCCGTCCAGAATACCCTGGAATCTATTCCAGCGTTGAAAACCTGCGTGCATTCATCAAGGAAAAATCTGGAGTGTAAACATTTAAATAATAGAAGTTGTATGTAGTTTCATCAAAAAATATCTGAATAACATTTTTTCTATATCAATATCTAATTTTACATATTAATTTTTAAATTATTTTTTGTTTTTTTTTTCTCTTGTGTATAATTTGGCCAATAAATGATGATTATTATTACAAGTAATTAATGACAAAAAGAAGAAACATTTTCCAAAATCTTTCTTAATACATGTGAACCTTTTAGTTAAAGACCTAGGTAATATTATATTTTTTTAATTTAATATATTTGTATTATTCTATTCAGTTTTTATGTTGTAATTGAGTTCTACTTCAATAAATATTATTATTAATATTGACATATATTTTATTGATATAAATAATAAAGAAAATTAATAAAATGCAACATATTTGAAGATGATAGAATATATTATTAGTTTCATTTAATTGTTAAGAAAACTTTACAATTTCCACATTTCTTGTAATAGGAAGTATACTCTAAAATATTGAAGGATTCATTAATATTTTCAGACGCTTTATAAATAAAATATTGCCTGCAGTGAAAACTAAGGACAGAGTGGCTGGCGCATATAGCTTTCATGATTTTGTTATGAACTGCATGGATGTGGCCACACTTTTATATAAAATACATGTATCATTACTAATATATTGTCCTTATTATTTATGACAATTTTCAGAAATATATCTTTATTATCTTCTATACAATATTAATATATTTAATTTATTGTAAACTTATAAAAATATAATAATATTTCTTTGTAAATTTAAAAGATTCAAATATTTTTTTTTAAATAAGAATTTACAATTTTGAAATAATATCTTACGGTAAAAGTACATAACTGGTAAATGTATACATTCACTGGCTTGGTTGGTTAATGTAAATTCAACTTGCATTTCCGAGAAATGTATACATTTACCTAATGACATCGGTAAATGCTTATATAGGTTTACATATTAAAATTACTAAAATTATTAACTCATAGTCAATAGACATAAAAAGTCCATACTATTAAGTTATTTAATTGTAAAGGTGATTTTGGTGAATTCATTCTATTTTTTCTTATAATTAACCTTTGGATTAATATAGAAACTTCCATGGTTCTATAATTCTATACTTATCAATTATCTATTTAATAACCGTTACAATGATACACATGGTTTTATTGTACACTTATATGTCTGTAGTTATTTATATAATTATAAAATTGTGGCAATATATCTCTTATTATATTAAAAAAAATGTACTTTTTTTTATAACAAAATACTTTAATCATTATTGTTTTTTTTCTAACATTTTTCTAATTAGTTTTAATTTTTTAAAAATAAAATCTAAATATTGGGTATTTATAGAATATGTTAAAATTGAAAATGCAAATATAAATTCTATATTTACTGTTAAATATAATTTACTGTTAACATTCCAAACGGAAATTGATTGTTCTGCCCTAATAGTTTGCTAATTCCATTATTTTAGTAATTTGAATATCTCATGTATTGTACATTTAATCAATTTCTATTTTTAATTTTTTTATTTAATTTTATATTAATCGAATGATTGAAACGTGGATTATATATGAGAATCCAGTTATTAATAGATCGTGCTTGAAATAACTTTCCAAAAATAAAATAAAATAATATTCTTGCCATTGTATTCAAATTGAAGCCTTTTACAGATTAGAAACCAGGGAATCACGCGTTCAAAGATAAGGAAGTACTTTCAGTATAAATTGGGGACCCTGATGGGCTACAATCAAACCGACTCAAAATGTTCAAGTTGGCTTTAGTCTCAGCCCTCGTGGCTCTCGCAGCTGGTTAGTTTATTTGTTACATTGACCAAAAAAAAATATAATTTACTTATAATTATTTTGTTTGTAGCATCCCCAATGACCCCACGTTTGGATGGTCGCATCGTTGGTGGTGAAACCGTTGTAATCGAAGATTTCCCATACCAATTGTCTCTTCAATACTACGGAAGCCACATCTGCGGTGCTTCCATCGTCAGCAAGAACTTCGCCGTGACCGCCGCTCACTGCACCAATGGGTAAGTACTAAAATTTCAAAGCTTTCATGACACATGGTATTAACTGTAAATTGCAGATCCCCAGCTTCCACTTTGAGCGTCCGCGCTGGATCTTCCATCAAGGGATCCGGTGGACAAGTTGTCCAAGTTAAGGCCGTTTACCAAAACCCTAAATTCAACAACTACAACATCGATTACGACATCTCCGTTTTGGAACTTTCCGAACCATTGAACTTTGGAGCTGGTGCTCAACCAGTCGGTTTGCCAAGATTGAACCAAGAAGTCCCAGCTGGCTCTGACTCCGTTGTTTCCGGATGGGGTGCCCTTACTGAAGGTGGTGGCTCTCCTTCCCAACTCCAAGCCGTCCATGTTGGAATCATCTCCCAGGAGGAATGCAAGAAGGCTTATGGAGACAGCGCCATCACCGACCGTATGATCTGCGCTGGAGTTAACGGAGGTGGCAAAGACGCTTGCCAAGTATGTCATTTCTTATGGTTAACAGTTTAAAGTTCGGTTATTTACTTTGATTTTATTTATTACTAGGGTGACTCTGGTGGCCCACTCGTCGTCGATGGACAACTCGTTGGTATTGTTTCCTGGGGATACGGATGCGCCCGCCCAACCAGCCCAGGAGTCTATTCCAGCGTATCAAACATGCGTGACTACATCACTGAAAATGCCGGAATCTAAATTACCTAACCTTTGACAATGAAAAAAAATCTAAAAAAAAGCATTAAAAAATTAAAAATTATATATTTGGTATTTAATTTCCATCCTCTCCACATAATATATTTGAAAAATATCAAATTTCTTAAAATATTTTCTTACTAATTTCTAAAATACGATTCAGTTGAATGTTTAAATCCTACAACAATATTGAGTTCTGCTTTGAAATATCGTTTATATTATGTATTTAGCACATACTAATAACACTATCTTATAGCACACTTTAACTTATCCACATCACATTGAAATTATGATGATATTTATTTTGATATTTACACTTAAAATCTACGGCAAAAAGATTTTTTAAAGAAATGAAAGGTGCACCAATTGGAAATTACTAAGCAATAATTACCAAGAAATAAATAAATGCATTTAAATTAAAAATAATTAAAGCATCAAAATTATCATTAAATATATATTCAGTTGGGATAATTTAGTAAATATTCACTGAATTTATAATCAAATTTCTTAATTTCTAAAAGTATGTTCATATTAATTATATTTCGACCTTTGAAATACAAGGAAATCATTTTAAAAAAATACATCAATAGATCGCATAATGCGGGCTGAACCGGCCTGTTTGAAACCAGACTAATATAAGATTTTAAAACTACATCAAAAATAAAAATACAAAAAATGTCTGAACTGTATATGATAAAAAAAAAACAAGATCATGTATGTATAAGAAAGAATGTTGTGTAGTATTTTTTGAGAATTTGTTTTTAATTTTCAGAATTCATTTTTTTTTTATGATAACAGCACAATTTGAGTTATAATTATTTTAATTTGTATGTATTTTTAGCATTACAAATTTTAAATAAGGAAGTACATATTAAAAGTACAATTTTTTAAATGTAATAATTTTAATAAACTCTTAATCCTTTTAAGTATATTTTGGTAATAACCAATTATGATATGAAATTAATTAGTTGTCTGCATTTTAATTAAAAAAAAATAAATTAATTTTCTTTAAACATAAAAATACATATGTATATAGCTAAAGTTTTCAATATTTATTTGAGTTCTACAAGTGCATTTGTACTTTTATCACTTAAAGTGATTACCGATTTTCTAATAATTTTTTATAGATTGTGATAAGGTCAGTAGACAAGTGTTTTGGGAATGTATTAATCAATAATAAAAAAACAAAAATAGTTAGTTTGTAAATAAAGTTTTATTGAGTGTTGTGTAAAATAAACGTAAATCACGCACGTACAAATGCAATTACAGGACAAGAGTCATATTTAATTAATTTTCAATTACGCTGGAAGCGACTGGCATAAATTAGAACAAGCATCGACATGTGAATTATTACTTGAAGTAAATGTTTAGTTTTGGGGAGCATTGCAGCAATAAAGCTTAAACCTGTGAAACATATAGGTCAACAATTCCTGGCACCGTTTCTAATTATCATAACTGTGTGTCCGGTCGTACAGTACGAAGCTGCGCGCAATCTGATCCTGGGCCATTACGTAATTGCGTTAATTACTTGCAGCGTTGGGAGTCAATGAGATTAACATTATCGGCTGACGATGGCGAACGAAATGGACCCATCACCAAATGAAATAAATCTACAAAACTATATATAACAATATTTTACACAGTGCGGTTTCGATCAATCCGGATTTACTATAGTCCGGTTTTGATCATCAAAACATACTAAATTTTGTGTAATCCGAAATCGTTTTATTTGGGATATAAATTCAATGCACATTTGAAATATCTTGAAAAATGAATATAAAGGTATTGTATCTAATGTATTTTTAATAAGAAATATAAATACATAACTCATAATGAAACTATTTAAACAATATACAAATTTTCAAATATTTCCACCCTACATATTTATATGAATAGTAATATCTGCCCACAAAAATATTGGGATAAAATACGCTTATCAAAATTTGATACTAATATTTTGATAATAAAATAGCATTTTTTTAATGTGATGTAATGTGAATAAACTTTTTATTGTATTGGATTTTATAATCGTGTTAGAGCGTAAGCTTATTGTAAAAAATATATTGTTATATGAATTATATTTGTATATGTAAATAAATAAATCTGTTTTTATTAGAGCTGAAATTATAATTGAAATATAAACTTTAACATTAGCAATATCGTGTAATGTGAATATCCTTGTTAATATGTTGAATGTAATTTTATAATCATGTTAGAGCAGAATTGTGTTTAGTAATTCCGTACTATACAAACGACACTTGTTTATAGTAATTATAGTTTGTAGAATGGAATTATCGACCTAACTTACATTTCAAAAATATGCATCATGTTGTATAAGATTAGATGATAAATTTTCAAATTGTGTAAAAGAAAAATTGTGTTATAAAAGTGATCCATATATGTATATGAATCAATTCAAAAATCGTTTTTAGTGTAAATCATAAATAACTACAGCTTGAGAACTTTAAACTTTTAAAATATCGTGTTATGTAAATATGGCACAATATTATTACATCCAATTCTCTAATTGTGTTAGACTGAAACCGTGTTAAAAAAAATCTGTGCGAATGACTAAATGCGTTCACAATTATATGTATTAGTAATAATTTTACTAATTAGTAGTAAACTTAGAAATGAAGACTTCAATAAGCTAATTTACAATACCGTGTTATATGAATTTATATTTATCGTGTTAGATATAATTCTATAATATAACTAAATCGTGTTGCAAAATTACCGTTATATATGAGAAGTACATGTTTATATATGAGTGATAACATAAAATTTCAATAATCTTTGTTTTTTTTTTTAAATACGTTTATGTAAATATGACTAAAAATTCGATGTTGCACGAATGATTTCTGTTTATATTATATATGTATGGAAAAATTCGTTTCCGGTTTTGGAGAAGCGCTCGATTTTCCGGGTTCTATAACGCTATTACAAATCCAAAATTTGACAATAGAAGTGTCGGCTCCAGGGATTGCTATCCCCTCGATCCCTCGGGCTGTGGCAGCTCCATTACCAGCATGCAAGAGGCCTATTGGAAATAACATAAAATCAAAGCATTTCAAACAAATTACTTACTTTTTCATCTACTAACATCAATCAATCAAAGTCATGTCAAGAAAACGGATGTAAACATGTTTATTTTTTAAATTAAAATGTGTTAATTGATATCGAATTTCTTAAATTAAAAATTGCATTGATTTGATACAATAATAAATTTTTATATATCTATAATTCTTAAAATAAAATATTTTGAAATAAAACTATACTTGTTGCACCAATTATGCAATAAATCAAATAATTAATACATAAAACTAGAGTGGACAGATCTATGGTCAATGGCCCAAGAAAATAATTATTTTGTTTATAATTATGATTAACGAGAAAAAATATATTAAGCAACATTTTTCACGGTATTATTTTAAAAGAAGTTTTATTATGTAAGAATTTATTTTTTTTTTTCGAAAATTTCACGCCAAATGAAATATATTTCTTGCTATGGGATAGTTACAATAAATATTGTACACAAATGTGTTAAATATAAAAATATCAATTTGATATAAACTACATTGTACGGTCAATAATTTCAACATATGACATTATTATGTAGGCAACCCAATATACAATCTATTACGCAAAACTTCAATTTTACCATTTACTTACATTTTTGTACAATAACTTTCAGTACAAAAATTATTATAAATAATTTATTATAATAATTTCTAAAATATTCCGTTTATTCAATTCGTAAATATTAATAATAAACATGAACAATTAAAAAAAATAAGATAAAGATAATGTACAATAATTGCACGTCTAAAACAATAGATTATACGTATTTGAATGCTATTGATAAATTATACGAAATCACACTGTAAATGTATACCTGATTCATCCTATTCATAAATGACGTTTACTACTAATAGGGCACTCGACCGGACTTAATGGATCCTAGTTAAATATGAAACACTATTAAGTGCGTTACAAATGCATAATGAGTGTACGGCCTTCTGCATATTTTAGAAAACTAGAACCCGGCTGCTTATACTGATTTATTTAAGGTCCGAAGCTTAAATGCCCTTTATTATTTATACTGAACGGACTTCCTCCGCCTTATTAAAATCTCAACTTCTGCTGTACTAAATACTTAATTTCAATAGTAATCAGAAAGTGTTGTCAGGTAAAATCGAAGAAATAAATAATACAGTTTAATTATCAAATATTGATGTCATAAACGAAGCGTTACCATTTAAATTTGTAGAAAATTTTATTTATGTTTTCCATGTCAGTTTTTCTTTAATAATCTTATGATGATGGCTACAAAATTTTATTTTAAATATTTATAAATACATTATTTCAATAGTTATCAAAAAATATGTTATTTATTTGATAAAATTGAAGAAGTTTAATTATGAAATATTGGATGTGCTAATATTAGCATTTAATTGACAATAAAAAAAAATGTTTTTTGAATGCTGTTTTTGGTATTTAAGGACATGAAAATTCATAATAACTATGACTTTTTAAAATATGAGCCGTTATTTTAGAAAGTGTTATAAGTCTATTTTTGGAGAAAATGACACTTATACCGCATTTATAATTATACATTGATTGAAGCACGATTTCATGATAAACTAATCAAAAGAATTTTGCTGTATAATGTTATTGCAAAAATATTATTTTAGAAATAAGTCCATTTCTAATAATATTAAAAGTTAAAAAACAACTTTATAATTGAAACTTCAGTTTTTGTTGTTGACGATTCATTTTTCATCACCAAATATTAATTCGTTGTGTTAATTCAATCTTTTTCAATTTATGTAAACATCGAGATTCTTGATGATTATCAGTGACTATCAGATATTGTGTGCGACACATACAAATTACAACAATCTCTACATCTGTTATTTTATTGAATTGTGATTTTGATTTTACCATCATAAAATTTAGTAGAATGACCAGAACGCTGGTTACCTTAGAGTGTAATATCTCCAGAACATATTTTTAAACTAATTTATACACTTTACATGTTTCTTTCTAAACCTCATCAGCTTT